TCGTATCCACGATTGGTCGATTCCATCAATCTTATGTCATATACTTAAAAATTCAACGTACTTAATGGCAAATATGCCGCAGTCGCCGCTACAATTGAACAAGAATGGATCAGTTCAGTACTGTGTAGCTAAAAACTAAATATGAAAGATAAAAACAACAAAGTTCAAAGACTTACCTTATGGACTATCCGCTATCATTGTGTTCCGAACAATCTGCAATTTGTCATATACGGTCATCCCCGCTCATCTGGCCATCATAGGAATAATTACAGCTACGGACTCCAGGTTTTACTCTAGCTGGCCTTGTGTCAAACATGAATGATCTGGGTTGTACACATATATAGTCGCGTCAACAAAAACGATCTCCAGCGTAACATGGTGCTTATTGATGCACGCTGAAATGTACATATGTGTACAACCCTCCCATGATTTTCCCCGACACTTGGCGGCATTCCTATGACTCACTCGAGCATATATTCTGGCACCGTGTACTCGTTACCCATAAGTTGGAGTGACTGAGACTCTATGGTAACGACACGTATGAACTCCGTGTTTAATATGACTCGACCATGGACGTCAAATGATTTTGGATGTCTTTGAGCTCGATCTCGCAGCACATCGAGCAAGTCCATGGCCATGTCGATGTGTTGCATCAGGAACACCAAAAAAGTATGAGTTGTTCATTTAATAAACACAAAGTGATGTATACAATGAAAACACAAAATGAATAATTCACTTACATCGTCGTGAACCAAGCTCCCGAAATGGTGATATCGTGGAACCACTTGTAAGCGTCCGAGACCGTTCGGTTATCTATCGTGCGACTAACTCTGAAAAAATAGGGAAATGTTAAAATAAGCACAGACGAGTTAGCGTACAGTACTTTATTAAAATCATACAATACTTACCCGAGGATAATTTTCCTCCACTCCGTCTCGAACGCTTTCCACTTGGCGTTGTCCACCTCCCTGAATAAGTTCGAGTGCGTCCCATCGATGAACGTCTTCCTCTTGACCTCAGCTGTGAAGGGGGAAACAACATATTGTGATGGCACTCCCAACCTCTTGTTGACCACCTGCTCCGTCTCATCAACAGCATGTCTCTTACCTTTAATCACGACGGGCGTCCTCTTGACCTCCAGGGCCACCTCCTCCGTCGCCATCTCATCCGCCCCTCCCATTGGGGCCACCTCCTCCGCCCCTCCCATCGGGGCCTCCCCTCCGTCGCCACCTCCTCCAACCCTCCCATCGGGGTCACCCCCTCCGTTGTCCTCTTTCCCAACCCCATCGAGGCCACCCTTTCCCCTTCCATAGACAACCACAATGATTCTAATGTCTTATCATGCCAAAAATGTAGGTAACCCCCCTTTCCATCACCATCTTTGCCACCCTCTCGATCATCATCTCCACCATTCCTTCTGTCCCTCATCGCCTATCGGCTAAATCTCCTCTAAGTGCCGCTACTGTATCCTGAAGGTCGATAACGCAAGATCGTAGCATTCCAACATAATGGGATAGATCGTCAACCCTCCCTATCAACTCTCGTCCCATATCGTCGACCCTCCCTGTTAGATAGTCGACTTTCCCTGTCAACTCTCATCCCATATCATCGACCCTCTCCGTCAACTCTCGTCGTAGCGCGCCGACCTCCTCCGCTATAAATCCAGTCAGACGGGCGTACAAATCATCAATGTGTGCCGGAGATACATGGGGGACGTGTCTGGACGAGGGAGAAGGAGATACCCTTGGCGGTGGCGATGCCAATTGCGGCGCCGATGCCCTCGACGGAGGTGATGCCAATGGCGGCGACGATACTTTCGACGGAGGTGATGCCAATGGTGGTGGCGATACCCTCGGTGGAGGTGTCGATCAGCTGGACCACCCTCTTATATAAATAACATTAAAAATTATTCAATAAATTTATACGTCGACGATATTCAATAAATTATATTTAATTCACATACCCAATCTCGGTCCAGGCTCGGATCAGACATCTCCTCGTCTTGGGTGTGCGGAACGCCTAAATCCCGCATAAGACACCGAGCCTCCTCTTCCATCGACGGCGTCAGCTCAGGTATGACTTCAAGCTGATATATTGACATTTCAACTAGTTAACGATCATGTAAATAGATTTTAAACTACGTATAATATAAATTTCAAATGCATAATACTTATTTGAGGATCGTCGAGGAGGGTCGATAACTGTTTCCCAGTGGAACATCCGTCCACTCGCGACGATCTCCAATGATCCATTCGAGGGTATCGTGTCTCCCCTTGCTTCGCGAAGCGGGCCCCCAGTATAGGGACTGTCTCATACACTCAAATCTGCAACACATACACTTATTATGCATAAATGTAATATACTAAAACTTTAATTTTAATTATATTAAACATTTACCTGCACCGCTAAGGGCAATTCATGTGTATCGTATTTATGCATTGACTCCCTGGGCCTCGAGTATGATCTGGTGAAGACATGTACGATGTCTTCGTAGCATCTCCGGCTCCATGGATAGTTGTTGAATGCATCGATGTCGTCAACAACTTCCAAATGAAAAATGTCGATGTCAGTCTTCTTGTGATGACACCTTATCACACTCTCGAGGATGTAGACCAGCCCAAGTTTCAATATATCTAGCATCTGGTCGCACCCCCTGATCGCGATCATCAACTCAGGTAGATGCACCGACCCATGTCCTTGGAAGTACGTCTCGTACAACCTATTGCTCCTCTCAATGGCTGCCTCGTCGCCCGTAATTCTCAGTCCAGTGATCAAGCTAAACTCATATATCGAGAAACTGATGACCTTGCCCCCGAGGTCGAAGTGGAGGGAATCGCCGTTTTCTAGCCTTAGAAGCTGACATATAAGTGTATCGATGATCTGTCCTGAGTACTGTACCTTTCGCATGTGGTACAGTGGCCACAAGAAGGACTATCGTAGTATATTTCCGTGATGATCGTCGAGTAACTCCCACACAGTAGTAAAACTCTCAAAGCCACTGTTCCAAATAGCTTTCCCCGCTATCCGTCTCAACTCCCTATCTAAATGATACTCCATCCTAAAAAAATTCAAATATTAGAATATTGAACAAGAGATAATAAAATAACACATAATCTATAAAAATCAATGGGCACCGAATTCTTGATGCTAATAACAAAATAAATTCAATACAAATGTAAACAATAATTAATTAAATTAAAATACAAATTAATAAGATTTTCAGCAAAAGGAAATTATTAATATTTAAAGAATACAAAAAAGTTAAAAATTAAAGATTAACTATATTCTAAAAAAAAAAATTAAAGAATATAAAAATTAAATAAATAAATAACATAATTATTATTTAATCAAATGAAAATTATAAAAAAAATTAATCTGGTATATTACATTTGAAAAACATATTTACAAACAAAAATTTAAAATTAAATAAATAACATGGAAAATAAATTGTTACTTTCAGATAATATTCAATTATTAAATTATATAAATAAAAGACAAATAAATAAATAAATAACATAATTATTAATAAATTAATTATAAAATATATTTAAAAAAATTAAATATATATTTTTAAAAAAATTAAACTATTAACAGTCTTGCAGTCGGCCCAATTAATAAAAAAAATATATGAAATTTAAAATTTAAATAATTATTCAAAATTATAATGACAAGAATTAATGAAATTCGATTAACGAAAAGAATATTATTTATGAAAAACTATTAATAAAAACAAAAATGAAATTTAAAATTAAATAATCATTCAAAATTATAATGACAAGAATTAATGAAATTCGATTAACGAAAAGAATATTATTTATAAAAAAACTATTAATAAAACTAAATATGAAATCTAAATTTAAAATTAAAAGAATTATTAAATATTACAATTTTAAAAATTAATTAAATTCGAGAATGAAAAATTATTATTTATAAAAAATGAGGAAATAAAAATAAATATTCAAATTAAAATTTAAATTAAATCACATTTAAATTTTACAAATAAATAAATTATTATTTATTAAAAACTAATAATTAAAATTATTAGAAATGGAATCCTTAAATGTATGTAAGAAAAAAATAAATAAAGGCAGCGGACCGACCGTAACAATCAGCGCGCTTTACAGTCAATGGGCCGACTAAACAATCAACCCAAATAATAGTCCGACTAAACAGTCAATCCAAATAATGGGCCGACTGTTAATCAGCTCAAATTAAAAAAATTGTTATTGGGCTTACTATAACAGTCGGCCCACTTAATAGTCATGAGTTGACTAACAGTCAGCCCATGAAAATTAAAAACAGTCATGGGCTAGTCACATGACAGTGGGGCACCGACTGTTAACATCCCCAAAATGCAGAAGCTTGCAAATCTCAAAATCCACATATTATTTCTCAATTTAGACCCATATTCTTACTTCTACACCTACATAAACAATATTACATTCTAAAAACCTCCACAAATTCAACACTCACATACAATATGAAAATCTAAACATTAATATAGTTAATTAACAACTTGAAGCTTATCTTAACAAGAAGAAGATCGCCGGAGATAAATTGAAAACGTCTATCGATTGGAAACTGACCGTAGCTTTTCCTTGGTTTTGGCCGACTATAAACAAATGGGAAAGTGACTGTCTGAGAGTATTTTGGGATTTTGATGTTTATAATCAATTTTCATTTTTTTCTCTAAAAACTAGTTAAATATTACTTTGAAAATACACACGAGTTATTGGGTCATTTTCAATAATTTCCTCCAATGGCGTAAGACATTTCTCACACAAGCCTTATCGGCCCTCACTGTAGAGGTCGGTCCCACATTAAAAAATAAAATACAATGGGACCCATGCGCGTGTTCTAACAGGGGTATGTTTTACGGATCCAGTACTTGTAGCACCTCTCAATGGGGAACATACCCCGATACATGTACACCTCTCAAAATAGACCGTGCACCTCTCAATGACGTAAACCCTAAATACGCACACAGTTGATATAGTCCCGCCATCTTTACCCAATATCACCTTATAGCACCTCTCAATGGCGTAAACCCTAAATACGCACAGAGTTGATGTAGTCCCGCCATCTATACCCAATATCACTTTACGGCCACTGCGATTCATCTTTATTAACATTACGTATACTATTTTCACGAATAAAAGCACCACCGACTGCAATCTTTTCATGCTCAAATCCCAGATTTCTCCGTTTCTGTACCGCTTCATTTGTCCAAATTTTTAGTAGTTTTTACAACCAGAAATCTCATCTCAATTATAGTCTTTTAATTCAATAATTCTCTTTCTTTATATCTTTACTTTCTGGAAGAACCGAGCAGAATATCAATACAATGGTGAAAACCAAAGCCCAATCGAAGAAGCCGCAAAAACGCGGAATAGACTTCAAAGTAATAATTTGCAACTCATCAAATATTTCAAATTTAATTTGACAAAAAATCAATATCAAGATGTGATATTGAGTTCTGACTTGTTAAATTGTTTTTTCAGAAAATAAAGAGGAAAATTGGTCGAAAATTGCCGCCTCCGAAGAATGCTACAAACACCGAAATCAAATCCAAAGCAATAGTTCTTCCGGAGCAGAGTGTAGCCTCTGAAAAGGCGGGTTTAGCAGTTAGCAGAAAGGGTTTAACATTGAAGGAGCTGCTTCAGCAGACAAGCCATCATAATTCTAAAGTCCGGAAAGGTGGTGCCTTTTTTATTAATCATGTAATTTCTGTTCCATTAAATAGATGAAAATTCATCATACATTCAGTTGAAACAAGTGCCAAATCTATCAATGTATAACTGCAAGTAATTGTCACAACTATGCTTGAAATAAAGGCGCATTGATGATGCCAAGAGGAGAAAATTTGTGATCAGATATTACTTAGAACTATTATGTAAAATTAGTTTTGTAAAGGTAGGATTTTTGCGACACCATATGTAACACATTTTGTTTGATCAGAAGAAACTTGAGAAAGGGGAAAGGTCACAAAGATAATGCACGTTTATTATCATGTCATTGAGCCTTATGTTACATGAACTATATTTTGTGCAAAGATAACTTTGTTCTGAATGCTTGATTGAACTAAGGGAAAATTTACTGCAAAGATAAGAGAACTGGAGAAACTTGACATGAGATATTTTTGTATAACTATGAACGATTTGTCTTCTTTCCCTCAGATTGTCAACGTTGCAATGTTATTTCTATGCTAATTGATTAATTATTGAGTGGTCAATGTGCGAAATTTTGTATTGTATGTGGTTTGATTCTTGTCTTTCTTCTCGTTGATTTTGTAATGAGTTTAACATGAAGGCCCTGTTGTATCTCCAGATGCATTGATAGGTATTAAAGATATATTCCTTAAGCACCCTGCCGAGCTAAAATTGCATAAACTTGCTGTTATAGAGAAACTGCGTGAACGCATTGGAGATGATGATAAGTTGGTCCGTGAAACACTGTATCAACTTTTTAAGTCAGTAATATTCCCTGGATGTAAAGAGGTAATTTTAGAAAATATAGAGTGCTTGCATAGATTATATATACTTCATTTAATATGTTTCAAAGTGGAGATACTTTGGATTAGGATAGTTACTGGATGCATTTTATTTATTTTTAATCTAATGCATTTTATTTTATTTTTAATCTCTTGATTTTAATTATTTATTTTCTTGACTAAATTTAAGAACATAAAATAAAATTTCTCACTTATTGTTATCAGTATGTATTGGTAGCACTTCAGTATTACCCTGTGTTTCTGATAGCTGTGATTTGGAGTTTCTGCAATCATACCCTGATTCATCTTAGGATTTTGCAAGTGATGTTCTTCACTGTAATCTAAAGATGCTTGTTGAATGGATCCTTTTCCTTAGTAACCTTGATAGAACAGCCATGATAATTCAAGAAGCTGGACTGCCGAAATGTCTTAGTTGATCATTGTCTTTTCTATTATGTGCATCTCAGTTTAAAATATATGTTGTTTTCTGCATTCCAAGAAAACCTGACTGCCGAAATTCTGTTGTGTTATGGCTGGCCCATATTAATGCGGAAATGTGTACATGACTATAGGTTGGATTTCTTTCCTTTCCTTTCTTCTTCCTATTCGGGAGTAAGGGAGTTCTGTTACCTGTCAAAAGTTTTGGTTGAATTTTTCAATTTGTTTTGGAATTTTAATTTGAAGTTCTGAAGGATTCAGTGTAATTCCTGATATGTAGTTCTACACACATTCTTTTAAATCTCCTATTGTTCTATTAGTAGAATTTATACAATTGTTTGGGTCCTAATTAAACATCATTAATATAGAGTTATAATGGATAGGTAAATAATGTAAAACTAATTATATGAAACACACTCAACATTAGCCTCACACTGATATGATTGCAGACATGGAAGTGAAAATTTCAAAATGAGAAGAACATAAGATTAGAAACTGTCATCACTAATCATTCTCATGACATTTTAAAACAAAAACATGTTCCCACTGGCAAAATCTATTCGGCATTGAATACAATTCACAATATAAATACCTTGGCTTATTTAAAAAATTGCGTCTCTCTTCCTACAAGCACTGCATTGTACTGACTCACATTGGATCCTCCTAGCATTTCAGAGTCTGTCTATGCTTGTCTCAACCACAAAAACACAAATTCTTGAATTTCACATTGTAGCAGAAGAAAAAAAAATATGGAATATTTGGAAAGAATATATTGGGTCCTCTAGATTTTGAACTCGCATTTTCCTATTTTAAGATTTAAGTCTTTTGTTGTAATACGGATTTCATTGGTTTTATTTCACTTCCGCATTTCCCTTGTATCCAATGTACGCATCTTGGTATTCCCATTGTAATTATGTAATTACATAATGGCATTTGTTGTTGCCATTTTGCAGACGTTATTTCCTACTGAGAAAGCTCGGTTCAAACTTTCTATAGTAATTATCTGTCAGTTTCCTCTTGTAGGATAACCAGGGACCATTGATTTCCTTGATGATGGCATACATATTCAATGCAATGACCCATTTAGCAATTGATGTACGCTTGATGGCTTTCAGTTTTTTTGATCTTGTTGTCCAGTACAATCCCTCTTCATTTTCCTTATATGCTGAAAAGGTATGGTCAACGTCTTTCTAGTTGTATGTTTATTTTTGTGGTGATCAGAAAGAGTTCCCTATATTTGTTGAATTGTCGTGGAGGGTCTTTACCACCGTTTGTGAGGCACAATATTTAGCATTTATTTGAACCCTATTTTTTGGGAGAATAAATTTTCTAATAGTGGTTTTTTTAGAGAACGTGTGGTGAAAATAAGGAAAAGTTTTGGATTTATCTATAAAATTATTTTATTGGAAGATATAATGCTTGAAAATGAGTTTGGGAAAAAATAAGATTTTAAAGAATGGGGCTCAATCAGGGGCTTAGTTTAGCATGTCCACTTATTCTCATTTTATTTCATACTCGCGTGAAGGAACCAAAAGAATGTTTGTACCATGTCTGAGTTGATTTAGCTGCCGAAGCTGGATATTTTTATATCTCTACTCCTCCTTATTGTTGCATCTCTATAGTTATAAATTAAATTGTTGAAAGTTCATTCTTTCAGTTTTTGATGTCTTGTCCTCTTGTTGGAAAATGGTAGCTGATGTGATTTTACATTGAACATTGTACTTCTGTAAAGTTGTTATCATCTTGCTTCTCTGTGGAGTTTGTTACTTTATTCCTGGTTTGCCGTTGATATTTTAAATCATATCTGCAGATTCTCCAGAATTATGAAGACATTCTGCGCAAGAATCAAATTTTTCTAGAGGATAAGAGCAAGTTAAAGAACACTTTTGGTGGACTGGTTCACTGCTTGTCATTGTTGCAATTTGATGAGAGAGAAAATGACTCGTCATCTAAAAATGTATCCTTGAGTTAATTAATGCAACTAGCAAATTTTAGTTTAGTTAATTTTTAATTATCTGTCATGTGATGTCGATAGAAAGATTTTCTCTTCCACGCCCCAATTCATATGTATTTTCTGGTGACTAAAATCAACAGCTACCTTGTTATGCTTCCATTGATGATCTCTTTGAAAGCAACAATGTCACAACCTCACAGCTTGTCATCCTTTGTCTCTGCCAATTAATGCATGTGAAACTACTCATTTCCTTTTCTGGACATCCCAATTGAAGCCCACTTCTTTAAAATAATCACTTGCTTTTGTTAATCTTTCCCTTTAATATAAAATGATCTCACTTACACTTTTCATATACTGAAAGTTAAGACACTTGACCGATGACTTTGTATCTCACATGAGATAAAGTGCATAAACACTCGACCTTTTGACTCCTACTAAATAGTTGCTCCCTCAATGGAAACGTTTAAATTGGATGGGGGTGGGGAAGGAATGAATGTTCTTTCTTTCTTCTTTATAAGGTCATTTTTCCATTAAATATGCAACTTCTTCACAAATATCTTCTTTAGCTTTTGTCAATGCGTACTATAGTGAACAACTTGAGTTGTCTATGTGTCGATGTGTTATTCGAAAATTTTATAGTTGTGGGTTAATTGGCGAGGTGTTTTGTCTCCTTTTGTGAGCTGTTTCTTTAGATTGAATTCTTATACAAAGCTAATTTTTGTAGAATACTCCTGCTGGAGACATTCTCCATGCTTTTGAGTCTGAGGTTTCCAGAGAACCGACCAGTATGCGCTTTAGCTTTTGTACTGTCTTGATTATCTTCAAATTTTTTACTTAACTTTCCCCTAATTGGCATGATATTCGTGCTTTTTTGCTTTCAAAACAGAATCTTTTTTTTTTCCTCTCTCTCCATTTCTTCATTTGAAGGTCTTTGATATCTTATCTGGGTTCCAATAACCTTGTTTGTAGGATTTACTGAAGTTACCAAGAAATTGAAGGATCTTTTGCCCATACTAGTTACTTGTTTTCAAGATTTCATGCCCATGGTTCACACAATTTCTCAGCTTGACGCACAATCATTTGACAGTATGCTATTGATACTTCAAAGCATAGATCTCATAGTCAGGTTTTTGGTTTGGGGGATTGGTAGAAGCCAACAACATACACAAACTCTTCTGCCTCCTTGGCAGAAGCCTGACACAACTACTAGCGATCAATTTATCTCACTAGCGGTGCTAAAGAAGTTGTGGGATATTTTTCCCCTAAACTTAGTTCATCACCAATCAAAAAAGGTATAATAATGGCATTGTATGGACTACCATGGTCTATGAACTCCTTTGCACTCCATATCTATTAATAATTTGAAATTTCTTTCTGGCGTTCATTTTGAAGGCCAATTTATGCCCTTCTTCCCACCAAGTTAATGTTTTGGTACGTTTAAAAGTGAACCACATCTCACCATGAATGAAATTAATCACTGAATACGAATGTGTGTGGCAAAACCAATTGCTTTGCTAGAGCTGCCCTATATCACCGACTTTTCTTTGTTTGATCTGATTTAGCCCTGTTTGGTTTAGATAAAAATCAGATTTTTAGTAGATTTTGATAAAATTGATGAAATATATGGTTGAAAAGTTGATAAAAATTGTGGGTCCCATGAAACATGTGGTTGAAAATGAATTTTAGAAAATGAGAGCCAAACAAGGGCTTAGTTTTTTTTTAATTTTTTTAATGATAAGAGTTCTGTTTTCAACTATGTTATTGATTTCTACTACTAGAACCTATTTTATGTGGCTAATCATTTTATTTTTGCATTTTTCTATTTGGCCCCCATTATTTGGATTTATAATGGGGGAATAGTGTTTTTTTTGAAAAATAGACGATTGTAAAAGAATGAAAAGTTTTTGATTTGTGTGAAATATTATTTTATGAAAAATTGTGGTTGAAAATAGGAGAGAGAGAAATTTAAATTAAATTGATGAGTCTTAAAGGGGGCCAAACGGGGGCTTGGTATATGGATATTTTACTTTCTTGTTTTTTAGTACTCAACTTGGCCATTGATGGCTCTTGCTTATCTTCAGAGGAACATAAATTTTTTTACTTTGTTCTATTTATGCTGTTGCAGGATGATGATCGTATATTCATGCTGAATATTGTAATTACTGAAATATTTTTGCAATTAAGTAACTGGAACTACCCTTCCCCCGCTTTGCTGGAAAAGTTTCTGGAATTCATTGAGAGATCACTATCTACAAAGGTTCATTTCTGAACTTCTTTTATTTGAATCTGTGAGTATATGATGAAAAAACACAATTAGCTGATAATACCATGAAATGCTCTCTCTTCAAGCTTTATTAACATTACTTTATTTATAAACCATTAAATGCAAGGGATATAGCCTTATAAGTCCTTGGTCTTTAAGTTTCTCTTTGTTGATCCATTGAAGCTCTTCTAGTTATGTCATTAGTTGAAGCAGAAATGTATTTATACCAAATAAAGTAACACAATGAACATTGTTTTTTGCAGACACAGTCAAATAAAGGGTTTAACGAAAAACACTTACTGCCACTTATATCCTACATCCCAAAACTAACCATCGGAATTTCAGGTCATTGGAGATCTCGTATTCTCCAGGTTTGTTGATCTTGTGTTGGTTTGTTTGATTGTTAAATAGTTGCCTAACACGTTGCCTCAAATCATGCTTATTTTTCATCTTCGTTAGCTTTTTTTAATATTGAAAGTTACTTGGATTATGAATTCTAAAGACGTAGATTTTTTTGCAGTCTTTTACAGAGGCTTTCATGAACTGCAATCCAGAGTCTTCAATGAAATTAGCTTGCCTTTCTACGATCAACGAAATGCTTGATCCTGTAAGATGTCTATTTCCTAGTTCATGAAAAACTTTGGAATTTGTGACGTCTTTTCATATTAACTAGACTGCTCTTCCATATCATACAAAAATAATGTTGGGATGTTTTAACATGATTTTAATCGGCAATTGTTCTCTGGGTTATTCTGATGTTGAAACTTTAGGATCAATCTATGTAGGCATAATATCTTAATTGTTTAATATAATATAATGATCATAATCATATGCTCCACCTTAAGTGTATTTGAATAGATTTTGTGGAGATGCAATGGTGGTTGGAACAGGATGGTCTTTTAGGATCTTCAAATTCATCACTTCCTATTTATGTTGTGACGAATAACATGCATCCAAGACAAAACTTAAACATGATAATTAAATTTTTATGGTGAATTGGATGGCAATCTGTTGGATTTTATGCCCAATATTAAAGAGATAAAAAACGGAAATCAACACAAGAATTTTACGTGGTTCGGCGATGTGCCTACGTCCACGAGAGCGAAGCGGAGATTTCTTTATTCAATTGTGAAAAATAGGGTTACATGCGCTCCGCTCCTCTCACTCCGCTCCGCGCCGGCATCGGCCCATTTGATCCAGGGCCTGTGTTCCACTCTACATGAGCCACATGCACAACACAATCAAATAATATAATTGTTTTGTTATATTAATCAGATTTATAGGGTAGTTATAACACAGAGCTTATTTTCTTGACTGCTGATGTTTTAAAGTGCATCAATAACAAGAACAGTATTGCTGTTAGTCTGTTACTGTAAAGAGTTTCTCAGCTTTAAAGAATAGATAGAATAGTTCACAAGTAGTTTGTTATTATAATGGTTCTTGCAGTTTTTGGAGTAAAAGAGCAAGTCCATTTATCCTTTATACCTTTTTATGTGGTACAAATCAGTTTCCTTTTTCTCCCTTGGGAGTGGGTAGGAGGGAGGTAGAGGATTTTGCAGACATGATTACATTTTCTTTATCTGTCACTTCAGTTTGATATTATCAAAAGTATGATCCAAATTTTCACTATGGTTTCTGTATTGGTTTGTCACCTCAACTTTTTATCCAAGAACAGGAAAAAAACTGGCTATACATGGATAGAACTGATCCTACAATATTAGACTATCAGATCACTTGGATACGGGAGCTTGCTCCATTGCTAACTTTGTTAGGTGACAAAAACCCTACATGTTCCAAGGTATCTTCTTGCATTCAAGTGCTTGTTTAGACACATTCTCTTAGTTATCTAGCTATCAAGCTTTCGTTGTTGTCATTGTCATATGTGGATGATTACTATTCTTGCAGGCTGTGTTGAGCCTTCAACTTCGCCTGGGACAAGCTGCCCCTCCCAACTCTCCATTTTCTCAGGAATTTGACAACATGCAGTACATTATGAGAGACTTTTACAGTAGTCATATAGATGAAAGTAAGGACCATGCATTTAAAAGTTTGATTCTACTTTTCTTCATTTTGTGGATTCAGTTTGGCTCGTGGGTAACTCACTGTTCTAATATTGTAGGAAGTTTATCCTATGGTCCATTCATAAGGCTCGCTGAAGATGTTCAGGAAATCTCAATATGTTGCCTTTATTATTTCTCTTTCATGGACTCACTTCTCCTGCAGTCACTTGTTCCATGTTGCTTGTGTAAGTATTGAGTAACAGGTGTAAGATCTTTTGAATTCGTTATTTTAATATTCCATGCTAGTTTTCTGCTTTCTTATATCACTATATGTGCGAGTAGCAATTTACTTGAATCTGACAAATATTAACATGTTTTACCTGTTCCATAACATCTTTTTGATCCAGGAACTTTAACTAGTGTTCTGTAATAAATTGGCTTATTTAATTCTTTTAATACTGTTGAGGATTATAAATATGGTTATCTGATCTTTTTCAACTGGAAATTATATTGATTCCTCTTGTCAATGCAGTCTTCTCAAAATTTGAAATCTTGGTATAAATTTGACAACGCTCCAGAAAGCATACTTGAGCTTGTAGGTTTCTCTTTGGTGTCTGTTCAGTGAAGCATGATTTACCTTCATTCTCCAACGGCTGTCTTGTGTGAAAATAATATTCTCAAAACATTAATGTCAAAGTGGGAAGTGTTTTAGATTTTAATAAGGCTTGGTATTTTGTTTATGTAAGTTTTTAAGGACGATTGTAATACCACTGGCAGTTAAACAAACTGCAGATATGGATGGAAAAGAATTAAAAAGTTCCCAGTGCTATCATATGCTAATTTGTTGGGGGTCTATTTGTGCTTTTTCTTGATTTTCATTTATGTGGAAATATTGATGGGCAGTGCTTCTTGTGTATCTGAAGTAACACAAAAATTGAGATAATTTTTGTTGTTAAAATAAAAGGGTGGAAAATGTATATTATAATATGCTCCGAAGTATGCAATTTTTAAACATATCCATTCTTTTATAAAATTATTCAAGTGTTTCTCTGGCTATGCCACTGCAGGTCCTGATTTGGAGCCATCTTTACTTTTTAGAATCTTGGAAGTTCTGCACTCGGCTTATAGAGCTGGGCACATCCAAGTTGCTGACTATATTAGCTTTCTCGTCACTCTACTCTCACAGTTCCAAGTTTATCCTGGTACTTCCAATTGAGTCTTCATTGCATGTCTCGTTCTAGTAGTTTAATTGCCGTTACCTTTTTGCTATTTATATTTTGTAATAGCTGTAGCATTTTATAAGCTTTTTCTAACACTTGGGTTCTCCTCCCCCCCCCCGGGTCAAGTAGTCTTACCATTTGTCAACATACTGGTTAATATTTGTGCTTGACTTTTCCCTTTCTGGATTATGTTGCTTTTCATTGTTTTCTTTTTGTTTTGGGGAGTGAGAGTGGAGGGAAGTAGTTCCTGACTGTTAGTTTATGATCTAGTTCTATACAATTGAGGAGTTTGAACAAGCTTTACAGTGTCAATTTCTAAAATCAGTGCTTGCACACGAGGAAAATTCTATCAAGTGAAAAGCCCTGGACATTGGACCTCAAGAATTCATTAAGCAGGATATAGCAATTGTAATAAAATCAAACAAAAATGAATAAACAAGAAAATTACTTCCTGTTTGTGACTTGTCTGATTACTAATTGGAATGAAGAACCACATTCCTGATTTTACGCCCATCGTTGACTGCAACTAGATGGTTCAAATCTTGAATTGAGCAAAACAACCTGTCTTTTGGTAGCAAGATTTGATTGTGAAATTTCTCAAGTTCAATCTGGACGTAATTGCGCTTTAAACAGAATCTTGACAGTTTGTACCAAGTATGGATCTTGAATTTGTCTATAAACAAAACTATGAGGGTGTTTGATAGATATTTTTATGTAAAAATGAATTGATGTGAAATGTGTGGTTGAAAAATAAGGAATTTTTTTTGATTTACGTGTAATATTATTTTAATAAAGAATGTGTGGTTGAAAAGAAAAGAGAGAAAAATGCATTTTGAAGAAAATGACTACCAAACGGAGTCTATATACTCCTTGCATATGTAATAACAATTTATTGTAGGCTGTATGTGCAGGGAGAGAAAAACACATTCACCTGTATGCTCACAGAATGTTATTTATTTATTTATTTTCCGTGTATTTTCCATCACCTATCTCCACTGTTTTCGCAGTTATAAAGACTCATAAGCCAACTCTAACATGTCATTTTGGATTCTATATTTCAGTTTGAAATCTTTAAATAAAGCAAGGTTTGTTGCTATCTTTTAACAAATTTTCTCTCTACTGATGTGAATATAGAAACAGTTTTTATTCTTATCTACTGTCAGTAATAACACACATGTTCTGGACTTATCTAGTCATATGCAATACTCATGCATCAGTCTAATGGATCGTTTAATCAACCCAGTTAATTTTTTCAGGAATTTTGTCAAATAAATTTCACAAACCAAGGAGTTTGGACGTAATTAAGAAAGCCAGTAATAGTTAAGTGAGCCAAACACATTAGAACTCTACCCTGATAATTAAATTAGAAGTTTTTTTTGTTGTGCTGGTTTTGTGCTGGAACACTTTGCTGATTGATAAGTCCAAATGTTTATGTGATGGTTATTAGGATAATTTTTGGTGTGCATGGTCGGTTCAACACATTGGAACAGGTTCTCTGATAGGACCCTAGGCAATAGGAACTCAACAATGAAATAAACTGTTACTTGAATGAATTACTGGAAAACAAAGGGGAAACAGATCCAAGGCTTTTCGAGAGGCTTGGTCTCTCCCCACAAGACTCAACAAACGTGAATGCCCATTCCCTGTCCCCCTACTCTCACATTTATTGGCACTTCCTCACTCCCTCAATTCCCCAAAGTACCCCCGATAACTAACTAATAACAGATAGAGAACTAAGTTTGATTCCCTGCATCAACTCTTGCACCTGCCCTGCTGACTGTATCACCTTCTTTCTTTCTTTCTCCTCGTGTATGTAAATATAGTGGGTGGTCTATCATTCCCTAGCTTGGTGCAAGGCTTTTTGTCAGTCTTTTGACATTAAAATAAGGGTTTAGAAGACTATGATTTTTGTGAAATACAATGCATACAAAGATTGCACCAAAGTCAGATTATTTTATTTCCCTTTCAGTCATTATGATGTTTCCTTGGAAGAATCTTTCATAATTTTTCTGTAGGATTCTTCATTTATTTTCTCTTAATCTCCTTCTAAACTCACATTTTGAACTCATTTTTGTTATGGTCGTTCAAATAAATATTGGACTGTGTTGCAGAAGAGACCTATCCTGTTGTGAAGCATGAAGCAAGGTCAAATCGTGGGACTTATAAATCCGTTACTAGTATTGTTTGCTCTTGCTTGTCACAGATTGGTGATGCTCATCTTGTTTTCCAAATGCTGGAAAAAATAATTGTTGATCTGATTGTAAGTTTTCTCTCCATCTTCTTCCGTCCTTTCTTATTAGTGATTTTACTTCCCCATTGTTGTGATATACAGATTCATGCTGTTATTTTTCTTATGCTTCAGTGTGCCAAACAACCGGTGGATAATATGTGCGGTCTTCTCAGACTGCTTATCACATTCGACTCCAAACCCTCAAAACTTTCTGAAGAGAGTATCATCAACATGAGTCACACCCTTCCAGAATACTTGATGGATATTGTATCCGTAAGTCATTTTTCATTTATTTATTTTATTTGAGATGTATGTATAATATTCTTGATTATCTTTTACTGAATGAAGGTGTGCCTTTTTTTAATACACCAGACTGACTGATCAAATCAGTCATGCTGTAATTTCTTTTACCTTGATGATGCTAGGATGAAATTTTTGCAGTTGTGTTCAATTAATTGAAAGAAACCACTTCTGTTAGGTTCGATAGACAAGGCATTTCCACAATTACTACACTATCTGGTTCTTACCACGAAATCTCTTGCTTCTATCAACATCAGCTTTTGTATGAGTGGGTTGGAGTATGTGAACATAGAATTGGCCAAATTCTAAAGAGGAGTCAATTTTGATGATCCAAGTCTGTCCCAAATTGAACTTCCATTTGATATTGTGGAGGGTAATGCTTATTTCATGTCTTTTGTTAAGCCTTCTCCCGTTATAACATGACAAGGGGTATAATCAGAAATTAGAAACTCAAGTGATTTAGTTAAGCCTTCTCTCACTATAACATGACGGGGTATAATCAGAAATTAGACACTCAAGTGATTTGAATTTTTAGTAACCAGAATAACTTTTAGAACAAACTGAAGTATTAATCTAGAAGAATGAAATGGGACAGAGGGAGTAATTGTCTATTAAAACATAGTGGGTAAAAGTTGCGAAATAATGCATGTATTTTAAACCTCATTTCAAGACTAAAAATTGCTTGTTTGGATATGAAAGCCCTACAGCTGTTTTCTTTTAAGGCCATCTCAATTCAAATTCTACTCATGCAGCTTTTCATAATGAGCATCACTTAATTGAATATCATTATTTCGACGCAGAATGATCAGGAAGACGATCATGAGCCCAGTACTGCTATTAGTGTAAAAAGGAGAGATTATTACCTACTGCCTCCCTTTCTTCTATTCCATAGGAGCAACAGGCTGTTGAGTCTCGTGTTAAATGTGATGGGATCTTGGGTTTCTGAGACATGTTCATTGATTGGTAGTGATAATCAGACTTCCTTCACAATTGATTCTTCGAGTAGGCTATGTGCCATTATCTCTATGCTTCTCCTTATGGATGAAGATGTCAAGATTCAACGGATTCTTTCATCGTGCAAGATGCAAATTAAGAATATATTGCAGAATCTGAGCACCTTACTCGTAAGGATGATAATATTCGTATCAAATGATATTTTATCACCTTGTATTCTGGATTTTATCTTGAAAATAACTTGCAATAATATAACCATAACATCGTTCTTCATTTTACAGTCTTCCGTGGAGATCCAGTTGACCATAAGAGAAAAGCATAAGATTCAAAGTGCTCATGATCAACTGAAAGCGGTCACCAGCAAATTATTCAGAGACTCAGAACTTGGGAGGAACGGCATCAGTGAGTGAGTAGTGCGAGTTACAGAGGCATTCTTTTGATTTTTTACATCTGCGATTTTGTATTTCTAGCAGATGTTACTTTTTTGCTTCTGAAAGCAAGAAAAGAAAATAGCCACATTGATTGCTTGTAAGGTTAATTATGAAAGGTCTGTAAATTAATTACAAGCAAGGAGATTGTTTGTGTCATATTGATGTTCCGTTGAACTGAATTCTTGGCTCCGTTACTGCATTGTCTAATTGTGGTGCTTATTGCAGTCAAATAACACAATTTAAACTTGGCTCTCGTTTGTTTCCCATTTTTTCTTCATTAAAATGAAAAATATGACCGTTATTCATCAAATCAAGCCACCAAATTTGAATTTCTATCTCTTGTGTCAATGTGTGAGATCTATAACGGTTATATTTTTCATTCTCATTTTTACATTAATGTGTTCCAAACGGGCTTTTAGACAATTTTTTAGACAATGTAACAGTTATAACTCGTCGTAACATAAATTATTTATTGAACTTCACATGAAATTGTCGTTTGCATTAAACCAATCCAATGTTGATTTACAAGTCAATTTATTGTTGAAGAACTTTTTCTCATCGGACAAAAATGGTATTAACAATTCAAAAGTATATAAATTTGTCCACCGTAAATTAAATTTTTTTAAATTTATATTTAAAGTGTTTACTAACATCTAATGTAAAAAAAGACGTGCTTATTTTCAAAATAAGATCGAAAAAAATTACATAAAAACTTAGCCGACCAAGCAAAATATATAATATTATATTGGATAGTACTCAATGAAGTTAATCTAACTATTTTGTATACGAATAAGGATGACAATTTATGGTGGCTCTAATTTCCTGTTCACGAACTTGCAAGCTTGTACTATGCTCGATCTTTAATACATTGAATTGTATTTTACATTGGAATATGGGTTGATTTAGAATTCTTAGATTTGGTGTCGAATTGTTGACTAGTTCTAATATTGTTGAATTGTTATAAGCAGTTGGATTGTTGTTTGATTTTTTATTATTATTGTTGGGATACTGCAGTGTTTTAGTTTTTTATGCATTTAAATTTTGAATTATTGATTGTAATTGTAATAAGGAACGATTTTTCTTGTTATATATGAATTTTATTCTAACGTTGGTTTTTAAAAAAAATTTATGTCATAAAAGCCCAAAGCCCCAAAAGTCCCTGGCTCGTTGGAGGGAAAAGCAATAAAATTAACTCGATCAAAATTATTCTGGCGCGTCACCAAAATCTCTAGCTTTTGCTCTCGAATTCCCAATTCCAAACCTGAAACAACTTTGAATTTTTTCTCTCAGCCTCTCGCTCTAGCTCTCGACGCTGCATATCATCATCGTCGATCTGAGGTGTGGACACTTTAAATTCTGAGGTTTGTTTGTCTATAAATGCATATAATTCATAAATGAAATTTGACCATTTTGTTGGAATATCTTCATTTCTTGAATTTCTCAAAGTTCTCCTCCACAGTGACTACAGTGCTACGGCGGAGGAAGATAGCACCACCACAATTTTTTCCGATTTGCACACAGACATCATAGAAGCCCAAGCGGCCAAGCCCACGTCCTCTCTAGTTTAGACAGTGCCTATCGCCGGCACAAGCTGCTTCCTCCACTACCCCCGGCTTCACTTAGGTTCTTGTACTGCAATTCCTTTTTGAATCATTTAATTTTGGAAATTTGTGATCTTTTATGTTATTTGTTAATTGTTATGATTTATGAATTTCGATCTAGATTAAGATTTGGCTGGTTTACATGGCAGTAATTGCCAGAATGAAATATGTTAATTTAATGTTTAGATTTTTACTTGAATTGGATTAATGATCTTGTTAATTCAAGATCTCATTTCTTTTCCAACAGACTCTTCGTCCAAGTAAAGGCCCAGGAGTCTTATCTATTATCAATCTTTGTATAATCAAACAGCGAAAGGAAAGAAGAGAAACTGAAAAATGCAATCAAAGATCAGTGCTTTCTTCAAACCCGATTCTTCTACACCAAAAGAAGATGAAGACCAGTCTCCATTTACCGTCGATTTTGGCGATTATTCTGAAAAAATTATAAAAGGGCCAGAAATTATCACCACATACAAGCGCAGGACTGCATGCTTAGATAGGTACAAAACCCAGATTCCATATTGCTTAAATTCGAAATCTATATTTTCAGTATACTTCAAATATTAGAGGTCCATTTGAAGTGATATTCTTTTTTGGTTGTGCTAATTTTTAGGTAATTGTTTTTATGTCGATATTTTGTGCGTGTCCATTTGATTGAATTTCTTTTTCTTTTCCTTTTTCTTTTTTTAAATACTAAGGGCTCGTTTGATATTTTTTTTTTTTTAAATACTAAGGGCTCGTTCGATAGTGATTTTGAGAATTAATTTTGTGACCGTTAGTGAGAAAAGTAGTTCCAATCTGTGAGAGAGGAAGTCAAGAATGACAGTTGGAACAGTGAAAAAAGGGTTAAAATTTTGATTTTGTGGAGAGAAAAATCAATACCAAACATGCACTAAGATACCCTAATTTGGGTTCATTTTTCATGTATGTTTTTATGCGATTGTTTTCTTCAACAGTTGTATGAGCTTTGTTAATGTATAGTAAATTTATTAGCAAAGAATCAATGAATCAAGATTCAGAGGAGAAATTCACAAATTTGAGACTGCCCAAGTGTGGAAACGTTCTGAACAAGAAGAGAAACTATGCCCAATTACACTTGGAGGTTGGTCAGTCTAATTTTTTGCTGCACACATGTAAAGAATGCGGGTTCAAGTATGCTACTGGTGATGAAGGTGATGAGAGGATTCACAAGACAGTTCACAAGAATTACACCCATGGTATTTCATTCAAGGTTGTTGGTCTAGAAATTATGCAGGCAAAGATTTGCGTATAATATTTTGATTATTTTAGTCTTTGTTTAGTTATATAGCACTTGATCATACAGGGTTGGCGAAATGAAAAGATTATTGATGTGCCTTTGCTTGAAAGAGGGCGAATTATTTTGGTGCAAGGCGATGATCCTCATACTCAGCAAAACAAGGTACTTTATTGCAGAATGTTCTATTTTTTGGTTGATGGCAAACATTTAGTTCAATTTCTCAATCTTTGAGATGTTTACAAAAATAGTGCATATTCAGATTCAGGATATTGTCAAGATGATGGAAATGGAACTTGGAGACGGGTGGATACTCCATAAAAACTGTAAGGTTGTTATCAATTTAATTTTTTGTTGTTTTGTAATATTATATATGTTTGTCTCACATGGATTCTAACTAAGATATTGGATTCAAGTAATTGTTTATTGAAGTTCAAGAAACTTTACTTGCAAGTAATTGTTTATTGAAGTTCAAGAAGCTTGAGCTGTGTTGGTAAATAGAGATAATAACATGAAGCTTTAGTTATTAGTAAGAGTTCTAACTCCATTCAATGAACGTATACATTCTGAAGATCTACAAATACGAAAACTGCTCTCCCTCCGAAATTCATCAATATGGTAGATAATAACAAGGGATAAGGGAGTTTCTCCTATAATTGCTTCTCATTACTCAGCGTCTTAAAAAATTCATCATGGACAAAGGTGCTTTCTTTATTAGAAAATAATTTGTGAAAATTAAGTAGTTATAAGGTATTAGATTATTGTATGTGTGTGTATATATACATATATAAATTAAAGTTTGCGAAAAAGAAAACATAACCTTATATGTGCACTGTCTGCTTCAATCAATATTCCATATGTTTGCTAGTGATCAAACTCTAATTTTTCATTTGGTTGTATACCTCCACAGGATTTGTTTTGTATATCCAAAAATAACCTTGTCTGCTTAGAGTTTAATTATTAAATTAACTGATGCATGTTTCTTTACTAGAAATTAATTAAGGAAAATCTTAGAAGTTTCAAGGTTTGGGATTTTTGGTTACGTATATTGAGGTTTGCATAATTGAATAAATTCTCCACATTAATTTCTTTTTTTAAGATATCTGCAAAGCAATATCATGGGAACTGTAATTTTTTCTTGTTATTTTCTTAGTTGCATACTATATCAATAGACTTTCATATATTTTAGCTACCATGTCCAAAGAGAGGACCTATTATACAACTCGAGAAAGTATAAGTTTTCATCGAGTTCAATAGGTCGTTACTTGAAATTAGTACGTTATTTAGCATCAGATGAGCCTCACATTCAAAATCTTGACAGTTTTTTCGTAGTGTTGCTGAATGGATCCCGAAGTCATAGTTGAGATGCAAATGCTTCAACTTGCTACTCTGCTTGAGTTTCGTACTGAATGTCTGTAATCTTTATTCGTTCCTTTATCTGAAAAGTGCAAACACTAATTTCTCATTCATAGAATACCAAGTTAAAAACCATTATCTGGCAAATTTCAAAATTTATGCCTTCTCCATGATTGTAGGTTTACCTATTTGTTTCTTCCCAGAGGGTATCTGGATGTCTAGTTACAGAATCAATAACGAAGGCATACAGGATATCCACAAACTCAGTAATCAAGAAAGATGATAGTGACACTGCAAAAGAAACAAGGACTAGTTCGGTTTCCCTTCAATTTGGCAATGTCAGTTTTGAGAGGGAAATCATAAGAAGGGATTCTTCTGCAGTAGAGTCAGAGAAAGGCATTGATGGAATAATTTTGTGTGAGGATGAGGCAGTACCTGCTGTTTGCGGCATTAGAGCCATTTGGGTCGCTCCCTATAACAGGAGAAAACGCATAGCCACTAATCTACTTGAAGCAGCAAGGTAAGCAAAATTATTTTATTTTCCGGACCTTCTTATTTGACGTCACTGGAAGCTCTATGAATTGTAATGTTTCTTTGTTAACGCAGTTAGTGTAATTTTATCTTAATTGTAGAAAGAGCTTCCACACAGGCGTAACTCTTGAACACACACAGCTAGCCTTTTCTCAACCTACCTCACTTGGAAAGGCTTTGATATCCAGTTATACAGGAGGTTCTTTCTTGGTCTACACAACGGCTGATCTATACTAAGGTTGGTCATGCATCGTTACTTGGATTGTGCAATTTTTTTATTTTGTAATCGGTTAGCTTTTTCTATGTTTTTCATAACCGATCCCAAGCGTGACCAAAATAGGCAGATTATGGTAGGTTGATATCAATGTCTTTTAGTTCTTTTAACTTGGGATCGACCAAAGGAGGGTGATTGTGATAGGTTGACTTCAAGGTCTTTCGGTTCTTTTAACATGCATCTTTTTACTTAGCAACATGCTCATGTAGTAGTGAAGCGATGAAATTTATAGTCACCCTAAATTTATTGGGAAATTGCTTGGTTTGTTGTTCTATAGACTGATTCAAATTCTTAACATACACTATTGTCCATTATTTTAGTTGAAGAATTTTTCATTATGAAAATTATCTGTTTTGTTGCACAATTTCCACACCATTTTATTAATCTCTACTTATTCATTTATCCTAAAAGTTCTTATCATAACAATTCCTTGATAAATTTGAGTTGTTTTCATGATTTTAATTCAAACTTAACAACCCGTTTAGCCCTCATTCTCATTCTTTTTTATTTTCAACAATACAATCTTCCATAAAATAATATTATACGCAAATAAAAAAAATTTCATTCTTTGTCAACTACACATTATTCAAAAAAATAATATTCCCACCATTAAAATTTGGCAACGGGGGCTAAATAAAATTTTATCAGTAATTAGTAATTACTATAAACTTTTACCAATTTTTCCAAGTATGTTCAAATTACATATTCTTTTTAATTCTTCTGGATTCAAAACTAATATTTATATTCATTTAGTCACCCAAGCTGTGAAATTACAACTGAAATTTATTTCTAGAATGAGAATTGCTACATTGCCATGGCCACATGGGCCCTGGCAATGCCAAGGGGCCAGCTGGCCCTCTGCGATAGGTCTGGGGAAGAACAAGACTTCTTATTTCTATTAATTTCTACGTTTTAGTTTCAAATAAATTAGACATTTAGAGATGATGCGAGTTAGAGTTAAAGATAAGGATGTGATTACCAAAAAAATAGGAATATAAGGATGTAATGAGAAAATGATGAGATCCTTAAGATAATAAAAATTTGGGTAGTCATCTTAATTCTTATTTGTTACAAACTTTTCAATTTTTGTTCGTCGTAGTATTTTCCATTATTTTATTTTATTATTATTATTATTTTTAAGCAAAGTTCCAGTTTATCTCAACCTAGATGATGATTTATAGCAAAATATTTTGTTTTCATTCTTTGAAATGAGGAAAAAAAATATTTTTTCGTGCTTTTTTATTTGTAAATTTTTAAAAATATGATGAAAAAATAAATTGTTATTCTTTATTTCCAACTAACATTTTGGGTATAAACTGTTATCAAATACAAAATAAATTAACTAAAGTGAAGTTAAAAGATAAGAATGTTATGAAGAATCGTTAGGGACATAAATGTCATAATGGGTGAAGATTGAAAACTTCAAGTGTAATTAAAATATGGTGAAAAAAAAATAAAATTGTGATGGGAGTATAATTACCTTAAATAAACTATAGGACAAATTCAACCTCAATTCGTCCACCCTAGCTCTTATTTAAATATTTAAATTAAAATCGTATATATGAATTACAAAGTTAAAATATCACTTATTTTTAAATTATTTATTTTCTTTTCTTTCGTCCATTGAGATTTTTCATATTATTTTCTTTATTTCTCCAAATCTATCATCATATATATGAATTAGAGGGTTTTTGGTGGGAATTAAAATTAGTGTAGTTGAAAACTTGTGGGATCATGAAAAATCTGGTTAATATTAATTGTTTGATTTTGACTCAAATTAAATTCTAAGCCAAACAGGGGTAGAGTTTGATTATAAATTTATAACATGAATATATTAATACGTCTCCTCTTTTACAATTTAAGGTTTTAAATAAATGATTTGATTCAAGTAGAAGAAGCCCAAGCTACAAGTCGATTAACTTAACTAATCCCGTTAACTGGATGAGTTTGCATTTTTTTTATTAAATTAAATTTTTTTTTTTTTAAATCTCGCATCAAGTAATAAAGAGTGAGTAAGATATTGTTCACATGAGGATCGAGAACTTAATTTGGTTCTGAAGATGCATTCAAACATTTAATTAAATCATGCGAGGCATAACAATATATCTATCCTCTATGGAATCTACAACTATTATTATCACATGCTAAAATATTTATTCTTTCTATCAAATATTGCCAATCAATTCAATTAGAAGCCAAGTAATTGAAAACATTAAATTCAAATACACGTCCAACGTCTCTAAATTGGAATTTTAACTGCATAACAAAGTGCTCATCTTCATCCTAGTGACTAGAAATTTAGCCGAGTAATTCAAACTAGAATTTTTTTTTTTTTTAAAGAGATATCACTCGAATTTTAGTTGTAGGAAAAAACAGGAAAAATCTTGATTCCATGATTCTCTTCAATTCTTCTTGAATAATCCCATTCACACCTTTTCTTCTCCCATTAGAGTTTTGCTACTTGTACATAAAAATGGTCCATAAACGATTATTGAAAATGAAGCGGAGAGAAAAGATTGGATAAAAAGTTATTGTGTTTTAAACTGATAAATAATAGAGTGTTATGAATACGTTATGTAATTCTTTATGTAAATTTTAGTGTACATATAGCAAAATCTTAATTTTTAATCTCTGTGTATGATCAAGTATTCTTGTGTATTGCCTCTTGTTCTCTCTCCAAAAGTAAGTTAAAAACGAAGCTGAAATATATGAATCATGCCACATGTACAAATTTTTTTTACAAACTCCCTTACTCACTACTCACAATGGATGGAGACCACAAGCCGACATTTTTTAAATTCACGTGGGATCCACTAATTTTTTGAGAGTGAGTACACTATTTTGTAAACAAGATTTTGTACAAATATCTTTAACCGAAATGCATTCCATAAAAAGGTTGAGTCGAAAAAGGAAATTTTTTTTTTCTATCGGATGGATCATGAGATCATATGGTTATAGCCATTGCGATTGCATGGCTATAATGTATCGTCTGCATGAACTCTACATATGGACATTGTGATTACAAGGTGTACACTTTGGCTTTACTTCAATCTGGTCCCTGATTTTCTTATTCTTTTCAGCTTGAGGTCTCTTTTATACTTTTATGAATCCTTCAACTTTAAAGTTATCAAATTTGATCAATATCCTCTTCGATTGTACATCCTTGGTCCAAATCAAGTTTCGAACGATTGCAGTTTAATCCCTAAACCTTTACATTTGTTCTTGGTTCACCTTTTTGGCCAATTCACTTCTTTTCATCAATAACCCTTCAACATCGCATTTATCCTACGATAGTCAATATTTAACCTCATTATGTAGTAAAATGACTCCCAAATGAAGGTTTGGATAAATTTAAAACCTAAAAAGTCACACTTATCAACTGACCAATCAATTTTAAATTTAGCTCATGTTTGACATTTATTTTCTAGAACTTATTTTTTTCCCTTCATTTCAATCACATATTTAGAATTTACAATTTTTTCCCTCACTTTTAATCACATAATTCATCAATTTTTATCAAAAGTTACTAAAATTTTGATTTTTAGCTCAACCAATAAGTGCCAATCCAGAATGAATAAGAATGATTTGATAAATTACTTGGGCTACAGGCAAAAAAATAAAAGACATGAGGTGTTGTGTCAATGTCACAAAAAGATATTCTTTCAACAAAGATATGAACTAAGGATTGGTCGACGAAATATGAACTAAAGGCAGAGAACCTTGATATACCCCAGAATAATACATTTTCATAATGGGCTCAACTCTTGTTTGATTTAGTTAAAAATCAGATATTTTGCAAACATTAATAAAAGTTGATAAAATGTATGGTTAAAAGTTTATAAAAGTTGTAGATCTCATAAAATATGTAATTAAAATTAATTATTGAATTTAACATTAATCTTTTAGCATTTTTTTATAATTTCCCAAACAAGCATTCGGTCTAATGAATACATATTCAATTTATCTTATAGTGTTTCTATATCAAAATATTTATTACGATATATAGTATAATTGACTTTAAATTTATCTTACATCAAAATATTTATCTTACAGATATTTTTTTATAACATCAAAATATTTATCTTACAGTTTGCCATATCTGGAATCAAATTTGAAATGTTAATGGCATCTTAAAAGAAATTTAAAGTCAATTATACTATATATCGTATCATAACTTGTAGATTTTTTTTTAAATAGCATAAGATGTGACAATATTTGCTTGAGCTATAATATCACCAATAAGAGAAAAAATCAATTTTTTTTATTACCATTAAACCACATTACATAAGAACAATCATTTAAGTGATGAAGATAAAATTTTAATTCAATTTATAACTACCTTATTAATTTGTTCAAGAATATGTAAATGATGATGTTTATTAAGCGTGTTTGATTGACATGAAAAATATCATTTAGAAAAGAAATTTTTTTTCCTTGTCTTGAAGAAAACAAAAACCTACTTCTAAAGAAAATATTTTTCTTAAAAAAAGAAAATATGGGCATATTTTCAAATTTTGAAAAATATTTTTAATGAAAAAATAGCAATCAAACACTTCAAAGTAGGAATTTGGATGGAAAATTAATATTTTTCATAAAAAATAATACAATCAAACATACCCTAAATATTTTTCTTTAAAGTTTAGGGATGTAATAGAAACATTGATGGAATTTATGGGACTTATGGGGTTTTTAGCTCATTATTTTTACCTCAATTCACTTTTTACCTGAACGAACAGACCCTTGCATTAACTTTTTTCCCTCATCAGCACACTCCCAAAGAAAACCACCAACAACGTCGTGGAGACCAACTCCGATTAGTACGGTCCACGGCATAGTAGTCGTGGTCACGTGACGCACACGCTCTCTCCCCTTCCCTCTTAGGCTCATATTTCTCTTTCTTTTCTGTTTATTTTTTCAAGATTTTCTTTTTCGTACTTCCCATAATTGCAGAAAGTAGAATTGAACGTCAACTTGAAAACCAGAACCCCTCGTGTCCCTGTTTTCGACCCTTGAAATTCCCCAATTTCACACACTCTGTAACTAGTAAAAATGGAGGAAGATTTTGATGCTGAAAATTTGGAAGATGGAGAGTTATGGCTTCCTTCTGATTTCTTCTCCATGGACGATGTTCAAGCTTCAACTAATTTCAATTCGCCATTAAACTACTACTCTACCTCTAAGCCACGTTGCATGGAGGACTTGGCTCAGCGATTTTCTGATTTTAATGTTCGTCAACGTCCAAATTTCTCTAAATCTCTACAGGTACGGCATGCAAAACTGAAATATACATGCAATCACTTATCAGTCTTTGAGTTTTTCAAGTTATTTGCTTCGTGGGTTGCAGGGGTTTAAACCGGATCAGTACAGGTCCACGGTGTCGAGACCAGTTGCGTGCTTTGGTTGTAGTGGCGGCGGAGGTGGTACAGGAAGCAGATGGCCCGGTTCTTCACCGGTTTATCCGTATCAGTTTCTGAACCCGGTTCAATCTCTGGTGAAAATTGGGGGGGAAAAAATGAATCTATTTTATACCTTTTGCATTCATTTCCTGTGCTGTTCTTTTCTGGTTTCGCTTTGTCAGCTTTGTACAGATGTGGGTTTTGGGAAAGTATTAATGGTTTCTTTTGGCTTTCTGCAGCTTCATACCTTTATCGAAGCAAGACCTTGGACTTTGCAAAGGCAGCAAAACCGTTTCACGCCGAACCGGGTTCTGTCCATTCCGGGAAGTGGAACGGCGATGGGTGCTCAGGGAGGAACTGGCGTTTTTCTTCCTCGCACTTCAGCCAATGGCTCCACCACTGTCACCGGTAGAAGTCCTAATAATCAATATGCAAGAAGTGGTCATGGTGAGTTAATACTATAATTAAGACTATTTGAATGCCAATGCTTTAAGATTTTTATGATTAATTTTATAATTTACGTTTTTATCACAACCTTGTTTCTTAAAATAGCTATTAGTTTTTCAATAGGTCAATTTGAACGAGAAGCTGCGTTTACTAAAGGCCCGTTTGGCAGGGCTTATGAGAGTAGAACGATTAGTAAAGGAAAGAAAAGTGGCCCAAAAGTATGTTTTTTACTTTTTTTACTTTCTTTTTTTTGCTTTTGGTTTGAAGTAGGGGTACAATTATTTTGGAAGAGCTTGTGAAAATTGAAGTATTAGGAGGGTAATATGACTAAATTGGATACTATGCTAAGGGTAGATGAATTTAATCCATGAAGAGCTGGAAAAGAAAGTAATAGTAGGCCTCGGAGTTGTAGCTTTAATGGTCTGGATAGCGCGGCTTCTCTAGAAGTTGGTATTATAAAATATAAGAGAAAGACTCAATAGGTGGTTCTTTTATTAAGGGAAAAATTTATTCAGTTCGTCCTCAGTTAAGGTGAATTGAATGTCTATATAACAACCTTTACCTGAAGTAGTAGGGGAAGAAGGGAGGGAGAAAGCAATGGTATCATGCTATCTGTTTCTGGGGTGCAATGTTTCTTATTGTACTAACGATGCACTGCCTGCTTCTGTGTTACCCTTAAAACTGAAAATCGAAGAGGCCTAAGTACATTTTCGTACTGAAGAAAAGATGGTTTGATAGTTCCTTCACGATGGCCTTTTCACTTTGGTAAAAGTCGGGAAAAGTTTGGCTAACTTCACCTTTTCTCCTTTTTAGTTTAGATTGTCAAGGGGATTTGTCTTTGCTTTACGCATTTTTTAACTTTTAACTATATTTCCTTCCAAGATGAAAATAACTGAATTGCATTAACCTTCCTGATTCAAAGTAAAGAAAGCTTATGCCATTCGAATTAGATTTGCAAGGCATCAAAAGAAATGAAATCTGTAAGAGAATATTGTACGGTTAAGGATTGAGAATATTGCGTAACTTGAAATTTAACGGATGATTTTCAATTTTCCGATCTGTTTAAGGGCAGTGTCATTTCTATATGCAAAGTTTTGGGTGCTCTATTCATATAGGTCAGAGTGCCTCTCTTCTTCTTCTTCCTTTTTTTTTTTTTTTTTTTTAATTCAATGTAGGTTTCAACTCGAGTAGACCTCTCTTCCTGTGCCAAATTGGATTAATTGGAAGTTGGGAGCCTAATTTCTGTCTGTGACATCTGTTTAATCTATTTCAAGATTTGTAATGTATGAACATGTACTAATAAAGTACGTTTTGTTATATTGGCAGGTGTGAGAAGTAAACTTGTGGTTCAACTCCCTCGGAAGAATTTAATCAAGCGAGAAGAGTGCCATGGCTATGTTGCTCCAGTGAGTTTGCCTAATGACTGGACTTACTGAGCTTTATTTCTCTGGCTGTAGGATGATGTAGAGGAAACTCCTATTTATGTTGGAATTAAATAAAAATAAGAGCTTCAAGAATAAGAAGAATCCAACAAACATCATTTGGATTTATATTGTGTGGATCTAGAGAATTGGTTTGATTTATTTTATTTTATTTTTGTGCAATATTTTGCGGACGCTAAATCTTTAATTTGAAAGGTTGTTAACGGAATGGTGAATTGTCATGAACTTGATGTGCTTCTCATATAGATGCAACTCATTTCCATTGACATCGGTGCCATTTATGGACGATCATTTTGAAATTCGATCGACTATCATTTTGCTAGAGCTCAAGTTGTCTTGGTTCCTCACTTCCTCTGTTTCTATCCATTAATCATTGATTTTGTCAGTTTAATCTCAAAATTGTTCAATATATGTTTATTATGAAGCCATCCAAGATATGAAGGCTAAGAATCTTGAAATTCCTACTTTTTTTAGTCGGTAAAAAATGGTTGTCTGGGCAGTAAATTTAGGACCCTTAAATATGCAAATGAATTTCAACCACTAAAACCCATAGGCTTTATTTCCTCGGCACATATTTTCAAACAAGAGGATCATCTCCCTCTTGAATTCAATTGGGTTTAAGGGATCCTACCTTTTCTTTAATTCTCTCTCCATGCTTAGGGAGAGACAAGAGGAGGGAGGGACAGCCATGTCTCCATCGGTCGACGAGAAATCCAAACACAATCCTTCGAATGTGTATTCCCCAACACAAGTATATCCGGCAGACCCTCCTCCCTATCAAGAGCTTGCGCCACCATATCATGGCGGTCCTAACCATCCATCGTCCAATGAAATACCATTCCCGACCACTGTGTCCAAACGGAGCAATATGTTTGCTCGCGTTTTGCTTTGCCTTACAGTTGCATTAATCTTCGGTGCATGCCTCTTGGGCCTCCTATTGTGGTTTCTTTTCAGTTCAGACGTTCCCCATTTTGAAATCCAAACGTTTTCCATTCCCAATTTCAACTTCACCAAATCAGCGTTAAATGCTAATTGGGAAGCCGGGTTGAACTTGAAGAATCCTAACACTAAACTCGTTATTTCATTTGATCAAACCGAAAGTAGCCTTGTTTACAAGAACTTCATTCTTGATACATACTTATTCGATTCTTTTCAAGTGGAGAGAGCAGAAGAAATCCATATGGATACCGACTTTTTCGTGCCTGCTTCTGATGACACATATTATAACACGACTGAAGCCCCGTGGGTGAAAGATATGATTGAAGAACGACGTAAAGGAAGCATGGTTTTTGAAGTGAGGATAATAACCACTGCTACATTTATGGCTGGGGAGTTTTGGAGAAGACAAATAACTTTGGAAGTTGCCTGTGTGGATTTAAAGGTAGATTTTCCTGCTCCAACGGGTGGAGGAACCTGGAATGGTAACAGAAAAGATTGTATGCTGTTTAAATAATTAAAACTTTTCTTCTTTTTCTTACAGCAACTAGCTTTGAACGGGTCGAGAAAGATGCAGTTTACTTACGTGTCAAGACCTTAGTTTCATCTTTAAAAGGTCAAACTTGTTAAGAGACCTCAGTTGGATCGAATTACTCGTTTGAGTTTAATGAACTTTAATACCATGTTAAGACTTGAATTTATCGTAAGAGGTCAACCTTGTTAAGAACAATAATCCAAATCCTTGTTTATTAATTTATAATTCGATATTTAAACAATGTGTAAATTATGACATTTGTAAATCAGTATCAACTCTTCAAATCTGCTCCTAAACCAGACATCCTCCTCGACAACCTCACATTTTAGAAGAACGTGAACTATATCTTATGTCCCTTCCTTGCATCTGTTACAAAGAGTTACTCACCGATAAGTGTTAAAATATTCACTTAATTACGCTATTATACACACAATGCAATCTAGATGCAACTAAATAGAAAGACTTTCTCATGTACGTGGGATTATGTCTATAATTCAAGTTTCATTTCTGAAAAATATTTAATAGGAGGAAAAAATAATAAACTTGAAAGAGGAGGAGAGAAAAATATTGAATTATGATGACTCACTCCGTCAAGAAAAGCCTCTACATCTAGACGATCTTTTAGACTTCTTTTTTCCGTATCACATCAACTAGACATAGATCTAATCATGTTGTATTAAAGATGAACTTTGTAAACATTGCAAATTTTAACATAGTGCAGCCCAAGTAGCATATATATATAAATCCCCCTAAAATAGTGTACGGTTTTATATGAGATAGTCGACATCTGATATTAGAAAAAACCAAAAAATTTGAGCTCAAGTCTTACCACAATCTGTTAATGAAAATTGTGTATGTGTCGTAGTTTTGGTAAAAAATAAAAAATAAAATAAAATAAAATGATCTCATCCTATAATTAACATGTTAGTTGACAAGTTTGAACGTACTTGATCTTTTAGCAGACATAGCCGCGAATTAAACAGAAATGAAAGGTAAGATATTATAATGTGAATTCCAAACTGGTAGCTTATAAAATTGTGGGACTTACAGTTGCATGGATTTCGGTCCACACAATTTTTGGGTCTAAAACTTATATGGAAGCTATTTTTTTGCCTAAACATGCCCCTAAATAATTTCAAATACAGTTCGCCAAACATGAAAATTGTGATGTGGTATTACAAAATCAAACTTATTCGTTTACCGTGAAACTATAATCCATTCATCAATATGATCCGATCAATTACGAGATATGAAGTGTATCAATTTCGAATATCAATCATATCTTTCATCTTAATTTTAAGTCAATGTAAGTTAAAAACTCATTCCAACTTATGAGTACACTTTGATCAAGAATTTCATTATCAATTTAATTGAATGAAATGTAGATCATAATTCTTACTATCTAAGAGTGATGAATTTCTATTAATCACTTACAATCTTTATATTATTCTCGACATACCCGAATGATACTGTAGTAGGGATTCTTGACAGAACAACATTCAATATCACTAAAGTATGACCGTTCCCGTATAAGGTACCATGATGACCTCAATTCGAAGGACCAATTTCGCAATCGAACATTAGAGATTAACCACTAACACTCAGATAGTCATCCATGTAGAATTTTTCCAGCGGGTCTCCATTGTTTTGTTCTATAACAGAACACTCACGTGTTCATTTAAGTTTACCAAATTTTAACTTTTGAGATCAACTACTTCATAAGTAAAAAATGCAACACATGATGATCTATCTGTAATAAAGATATCTATATCTCGTTATTACTTACAACTACCGATGATTTAAAATTCAACCATATACAATTTGTATCTCGCAATCACAATTTCTTGTAATTAACAAGTTACCAAAAATTGAATCTATAGAATCTTTTATTAGATTTATTAGAATTAGAATATAATTCAATTAAAAAAATAGATCTGTCATAAATAAAATGCATTAATTATATATTAAAAGTGTTATGTCTAAAATCAATTTGACTCAAGATATCACACTTATAGGTTCCTCTTCCTCCTCATCTTCGCTTCTTTGCCACAGCCACAAACCACACCGGAGCTTGCATGGGGTATGCTCATTATCACCTCCACCTTCCATGCCTCGAGAGACCCATCTTTTGCCGTGCTGTAACCTGGGAGCTTCTTCTAATTCTCATCACTTGTATCTGCTGGTTTTTGATTTGGTTCGTAATTCACCCAACTAGTCAACAACTTCAATCTCCTCTGGCAAGCTTTCCAAAATTTGATTCTCCACTCTCCAGTAACACTCACGGGCTCGTGCAATTTGACACTGACTATCACCAATCTCAACCACCACTTGACCGCCATTTATAATCAAGTGGAAATATCTCTTCACTATACATCCTCCTAGCGTGTGCAGCTTTCTAAAGACTATTTGCCTACTTTGGTTCAATCAAGGAAGTATCAGACGGTGATAAACACTGATCTCAGTGATCTGGAACCTGAAAAGGATGTGATGGAGGCCCTGAAAGAGGATATGAATCGAGGAACGCTCAATTCTGGGATCAAAGTTCTTGCACCGGTGAATACCCAGAATGGGAGTGGAAAACCAAGGCTCAATTGATGAGAGCATTTTGTAGAGGCATCATATTGGTTTCTGATTTTCTTCCCAATAACATCTCAAGGATTTTTCAGGATCCCAATCGGCATTGTGTGGTTTATCTTTTTCAAAAATAAATGTTATGGAAATTCTTGGCTTTGATCATACGTGCATCTCCAATTTGCATATTTTTGGCACATTATTTGCACATACCTAAATCGATTCATTCTTTCAGATTGAGATAATTGACAATGCAAATCAAGTCCACTTTGGTTATTAGCATGAACCTGATATGCATTGGCTTGATCGTTATTTCATTGGTCGCACATTTTGTTTTATGTTGTCGGAACATAATAAATTAGAAGATTCGCCGGCACCTTGGTGTTACGGTTTTTGTTTTCATGTCAGGAATTTTAATTATTTGATTGACGCCTGCGACTTTTAGGGCATCTTTCCGTTATTGTGATATTGCACGTGTAGTGGCACTGAACAATTGTTAGTTGACGTTCAATTGAATTTGGAATTAATTAAAGGTTGAACCCCAAACTTGAGAGTCCCCATCACCTCGCCCCTAGAGCTTTATGAGGGAGATAAATCGTGGGATGTGCCCCATCAGGCTAGGGAACAAGAGCTATCTGTACACTGCGCCTACAAGGAGTCCAATTCCTTATCTCAGAAATCGAACCCCCACACTGCGGTTGCCAACAAGGCTGAATTTGGAATTAATTGCTTTTGCTGTTACGTGATTAAGGTTTCCTCAACTTAAGATTTCAATATTTTAGTTTGACAACATATGTTCTGAAAGATATGCAGCAATTTCTTGTGTACTAATATGAATCTTTTATGAAATCTTGTCTGAACTCTGAAGCTCAAAGTACACTTCACTTGTGGGTTTGATCATCAAGTGTAAAACTAATGTGGAGGTAAGTTCAGTCGAGATGAGTTTAACTGCCACAGAAAAGTTATCTACTTTTGAGATGATTAGGTGCAAATTCAATTTTATCCTAGCTCAGCTGTAAGGAGATAATAGAATTCTGTTTCAAATAGCCGGTTCAGGATTTCAAATTTTGCTTGAAACCATATATTTTTGCAAAGAGATCATCACAATTTTTGAATAATTGATATTCGCCTTTAATGGAGAGACTGGTTGGTCTATATCAGTTTCAATTTGAGTCCGGCCCGAATATAGGATTCATCTCTCTCTCTCTCTCTCTCTCTCTCTCTCTCTCTCTCTCTCTCTCTCTCTCTCATGTCCTTCGTCTTCCAAGCATGGAGAGCCATTATCGTGTACGAGTTGTTGATCTATTTATTCCTGCTCTAAGATGTAAGCCCCAATCTAACTTCCATTTTTTGGAAATGAAAAATAATGGAATAGTATTTTCTTGAAAAAATAAGTGGTTAAGAAAGAAAGAAAAATTTCGGTTAACGTGTAATATTATTTTATAAAAGATTGTGTAGTTGAAAATAAGAGAGAGAAAAATGGAATATAATGAAATGGAAATTAATGAGATTCAAACGGTGGTTAAGTGTCCACTTTGTCAATTCAGAGCCGAACACATTGGTAGCCAATGCAACGATGTGACAAAGAAATGATTTGATATATGAAGATCGAAGTGATCCTTGAGGTTTAGGGATTTTGTCAAGCTCTGTAGCAGTTTCTTTCCGATAGTCATTTAGATCAATATAAAAGGACTTTACGCCGATGACATTTACGGAATTTTTCATCATATGTGCTTCTATTTATCACGGATGGGGAAAGTTCAAGTCGTTGTAGTCACTAAGTTGTTGCAATAAATAAGCATTAATGGTATTCAATTGGTAGTTGATGGTAAAGGCTGAAGCTTTTGAGAATCGAAGACCCTTAATGTTAAATTGTCAATGCCCAAAGAAAGATCAATTTCCAGAGGAAAAAATTGGGAACGGAAATCAAGAAATCATCGTGTCTTTGGGGATGGCAAAAAAACTCGTTCAACCGGATACCCGTGAGATCCCACCCCCAATGGGGTGGGGATTACTCTCCTAACCGGATAAATGGAACGGGTACGGGGCAAGGATCATCGCCCACCTCGCCCCGAAGCGGGTATGGGAAAGATAGTCCCTACCCCGTTTAAAATCAAACAAAAATAATATATTTATCATCATTTTTAAAGAGAACATTAGTCATTTTTAATAAATTGGTAAAAAAAAAAAGTAATAATATTTACTAATTAAGGACATAAAAAATAATAAAATAAAAAGAAAAAATAAATGGGGTAGGGGACTTGCCCCACCCCCTTCCCGCTTTAATCAAATATGGATATAGGGTAAGATAATAAAAATACTCGACGGGATGAAGATGAGAATGGCCGACCTGTTCCATACCCATATCGTTGTCATCCCTATGTGTCTTTCTGAGAAGAGCTTCAATTGTTTATTCAAACCTCCTCATGGGGGTACTAGGGGCGAATTCAGGAGTTTGAATCAGTACGGGCGGTCGTTGACCATTTACCGTTGGCCGCAATAAAATATTAAGAGTCCTTTTGATATCCATTTTTATTTTTGCAAAAAAAGCATTTTGGATTAGTGATTTGATGGAGAATGTGTGACTAAAAATAAAGAATTTTTTTTGAATTTACGTGTAATATTATTTTATTGAAAAACGTATGGATGAAAAAGAAGAAAGAAAAAACGTAGTTTAAAAAAATGGGAATCGAACAAAGTCTAAAGTATAAATATAACAATTATTTTGTTCGAATTGAATATATATAATTTTGTTATAAGAATCAACAGAATTCATCAAATGATATTATTGCCAAGTTTTGTATAATACAAAGGAAGAGTGCGAATTCAAATTTTCAAAATTATTTGCATTAAAATAGTCAAAACATAATAAATATTATTTTGTTAAATTTAATGACATAATTCAAAAGGTACCATAATGGTTAAGTTTACAACAATCCTTGCTTGAGATCACCGGTTTGAATCCTCATTGTCCCCTCAGTATTGAATTTTTCTAAAAACTATAAAAACAAAATAATACACAACAAATCCATTGACAGAGGAGTTGAACCTGAGACCTCAAGTATGTTTCAACTGACTCTCACCAAATAAAATGTATTATCAAAAATATAAGGTAAAAATTTAATCTATTGTTAAAAAAAAAAAAATTCACCCAGCAGATCGGCGATCGCCCTAGCTAGCCACCACCTAGATCCGCCACTAGGAGGTAGGACGAGTTGTGGACTTATTAGGTCAACTTTATTACTTGTTTGACGATATTGTCCACTTACAATTTCAACCCATCGAGAAGTCGTAATGATTGGACCCGACTAATCTTTACACCTCTACTTGTAAACACGGTACGTGCATTGAATTTAACTCATGTTTGGTTTGGCTAAAAATTAAATATTCAGTAGATTTGATAAATATTGATAAAATATATGATTAAAAAATAAAAAAAAAATCGTAAATATTGTAAAGCGTGTGAGTGAAAATAATTTTTATAAAAAACTATATGATTTCAAAATATTTGGGCCAAACAGGGTTTTTAGCAATGTCCGCCTACATAATGATAGCTCTTTTTGCACTGGGGTCTGGGGAGTTGTACTTGAGTTTCAAAGGTTCTCAAACTCCAAGGATGATATTGTAGGGACTTTTCCTTTTTATCAAGTATTTTTACTTTTGGGAGATTAACTGATTTTGAGCATACTATTGTTGGAATGAGTTGGAAAAATAAAATATAATTTTGTGTGAAGACGTATATTAATTCAAATTTAACACCTCGATTATTGTTATTATTATTTATTTTTTATGGGGTGTTAAGCTATAGAAATTAGAATCATTTTCGGAACGTTTGATTCGTTAAATTGTATAGGAGGATACTATAGTTGACAAGTTTTAGATTCATTCAAGAATGTATTACTTGTGGTTAAACGAGAGACAATTTGTGATTTTTTTTTTTTTTGGAGTGTCCTTTATATAAATCTTTGAAAGGATAGTTAGTACATCTATCTTTATTCGTTAATTTTGTCTGATTTTATCTCTTACTAAATGTTTATATACCCTTTTGATATTAATAGTTTGTTATACTTGAGCCCATTTGACAAGATTTCTGAATTGTCAAAAATTAATTCCGAGACTAAAAAATGCTTTTGGATATGTTCAGATAATTTTAAAAAAAATATTTCTTTGACTATACGAACTTTTGGAGTTAGCTGATTTAAGATAACCTTCTCATGAAATTCTTCTACAAGAACTAAAAGTCCTGTCAAATGAACTCTTAATGAAATATAATCCTTTTAACTGAAGCGATACTCGTTGTTAAGAGCATGTAGACTTTAATTGAAGCTAATAATCTTTAAAAAAATAAAAAATTTGGAAATGCAGAAAATGACTACAAAAGGGGGTGGGAACAAAAAGGACAATTTTAATTTAATGGCCATATAATTCAGTTCAGTTTGAAATTTCTTCTACATTGACTAAACTCTGTCTCACGTTGAAAGATAGAGTTATAGAATTATTTCTCCCATGTGACCTTGAAATTTATTTCCAAACATGTGGTTTTGATTTGAACGCTACATCCGAATTGCTGCAATAATAATTTCTTGATCGTAAATATTAATACAAAAATATTAATGGTAGGTAGAAAAAGAGCATTAACTAATCCTATTTCAATAATTAAAAGTCAATATGTCACACTATGGTTCTATTAATTTTATCATGTTTCTATCTAACGCGTTTTCCAATAAACGAACACAACTGTTCTATCTTCATATTGATTAGACTGCTCAACACAACGTGATAAGTTAATTCATGGCTACCAGAACAAGGACAATACAAAATTATACATAAACTCCCTGTCACTTTACTTGTCGAGAGTATAGTTGATTTTTTGACTTAGAATGAGTTATTTGATTCATAATAATTTGTCGATTCCTCAAATTTTTGCCTCGGCCCCTATCACAAGGGTCTGTTAAAAGTCCCTGTTTGAATAGCATAATATATGGATGAAATAAATATGAATGTATCCATCTCAGCCCTCATCGTGGAGCATGTCGAAATCTCCTTTTTGACTTTTGAGTGGCATGATACATTGATGAAATAAAAGGTGTATATACAAACTCGAATCCGGTAGTCTGAACTGAAAGGTTCCCGTTCTCTTGATCATTAAGTGGGCCCCAATCTAGAATATAACGTGTCAATTCCATACTCCAATCTCCATCAGACACACACACAAGGTCTAGGTTCAATAATCTTTCTTTTGATTAAATCGTTCCAAAAAAAAGAAGGGATTGTTTGATAGATTTTTTAATTTTAACAAATATTAATCAAAATTGATAAAGTGTGCTGTTGAAGAATCGACCTCCGATGGTGGATTTTTCGGATTCAGTTTCACCAATCTCAACCTTATCAAATACACCCAAGTATGGCTCCAACCCAACAACAGTTCTTACTTCGGTTGCTTAACTCAATGTGTTCACAAATAATACAATATGGTGGCTGCAATGAATAACCAAGATTAGAGGAAGACAGGTTCAATTTCAAAGCTCAAGAGAGATAACAAGAGAAAAGTCGGCTGCCTCTTTCTTCAATTGCACACACACGGCTTATTAAACAATGAGGCCAATATATATAGTTTTAGGGTGTAATAGTAGTGGACTAATATAGTGGGCTCGTAGACCAACTAATGGTTAAAGGGGCGGAACACAAAAGTGAGCCATCCAATAAGTAAATCGGTCGTGAGCAACATAAACTATATTAAGTTGTTTTAAATAACCCTCAAGTTGTTTTTCGTGTTGAGCCAATAAATCGAGTGTATTAATAAATATTTCAATTATCGACTGAAACCTATGAAATCTAATCCGACTTTCCGACATTGTTTAACATCATCGCCCGAGATTATTGGGTATCAAAAAACCCAACATGCGCAATTGAAGTCTGAACAAATGATAAAAAGTTATGAGTCCCGTAAAATATGTAGTTAATTGTTGATTTTGACATCAATTTTTTAATAATATTTTAAACAATTCCAAATCAGCGCTAAATACTTATATCAAAACTAATTAATTAGCAAATGTTATTTTTAATTTTATTTATTTTTTTATCGATTGTATACACGTAATGTATAAAGGTAAATAAAGCATAGTACAGTATGAGCTTATGGAGATTCCGATTCACGTGTATTGACTTTTAATTCAATCGATATATGAACATAAATATAAAAATTCTTTTTTTAGTTTAAATTTTTAGACGAGTGGATTTCAATAAGATGCTAAATAGAGGATATAGTGTTGAGTTTGTTGATTTTCTTTTTGTTATTTTAAGAATAATTTATTAATTATTCAAGTAGGAATGCTAGTGTGTAACAAATGAAGGAAGAAAGTTGTGATTAATTAGTTGAATGATTCAAAAAGTCGTGACCCATATCCATCATTCTCGTAAGTGTGCACATGATTTGTCACCACTCATACATATTATAAAAGAACTTTAATTATTATTATTATTATTTTTATTATTATAACCAAGTGGTGCTTTCAATCCGGTTATTAAACTAATTTTTGCTAACAATAAGATAATACTCGACAACTAAGAAAAATAATCGTAAATTTATGTTAAAATTGTACCATTCTAAAATTCAGAGCTATTCAAAAAGTTACACTTAACCCCTATTTAGTTTAGATAAAAGATAAATTTTGATAAAAAATGATGAAATATGTGATTGAAAAATTATGATCCCATTAAACATATAAATAAAATTATTATTGATTTTTAACTTAAAATTTAATCAGCTTTTTTAATTGAATTGCTTAATTTATAGCTATTCAATAAGGATTAAAGCTACACGAACAAAGATACTTGACAGGATTGGGTGACAAGTGGCACAACACCTGTCTGGCGGATTCTCTCTCTCTCTCTCTCTCTCTTTTTTTTTTTTTTGAGATTATGCCACTTGTACATAAAAATGGTACATAAAAAATTACATAAAATAATGTGGAAGAAAAAGATTGGATGAAAAAATTAACTGTATTTTAAACTAACAAATTATAGAGTGACATCACTAACATGTAGTATTATGTAATACATTATATAAAACTCACGTGTAGCAATTTTTTTTCTAATTGTCAAATAAAAAAATGACACGTGTCACCATCGCTAAAAATTTCTGTCATTGAACCTATTAATGTAGCAGTTTGCACAGAAATTAAAAAAAAAAAAAATTCATTCTTTTTTAATCCCACGTTCTTTCAAAAATTACTATTTAAAAATACATTTTATCCAAACTTTGGTTTCAAACGGGGGCTAAAAGTCGCACATATCATTTCTGATTTCACCACAAGGCGTTTTTAACACGGCACATTGAATCACACAAACATGCAGACCCCCCTACTCTAGCTCACTTATATAGACAAGCAATGTGCCAAACTACTCACAATTCACAATTTCCTCTTAGAAACCTCGTCTACACTCACCGCCACCGCTACCACCACCGCCACCGCCATGGCGGTTGAAAAGTGCAGCCTCCACAAGGACAGGCGAAGGAAGCGCATCCGGCAGTGCTGCGCCGGCTTCCTTATCTTAAGCTTCATCATTCTCCTTGTCGTCCTCATCGTCTGGGCCATCCTCCAGCCTAAGAAACCCCGGTTCATCCTCCAGGACGCCACCATCTTTTTACTCAACGTCTCCGCTCCCAATATCATCTCCACCTCCATCCAAGTCACCATCAATTCTCGCAACCCCAACTCCAGAATCGGCATATATTACGACAAATTAGACGTCTACGCCACCTACCACAGCCAGCAAGTGACCTACTATACCATCATACCTCCGGTGTATCAGGGCCACAAGGACGTAAACATCTGGTCACCTTTTGTTTACGGGAACGACGTGCCGGTGGCGCCGTACAATGGTCTAGCCTTGAGCCAGGATCAGTCTAATGGGGCTATTTTTATGGTTTTCAAGATGGATGGCCGTGTTAAATGGAAAGTTGGATCGTTTGTCTCCGGCCGGTACCACCTCCACGTTTCCTGTCCGGCTTATATTCCGATCGGAAATAGCCGGAATACTGGAATTGTCGTGGGCACCGCAGTTAAGTACCAGCTATCACAGGGTTGTAGAGTCAGCGTGTGAATCGTGTGATCTGCAAGAATAAAAGCCAACTTATATTCTCTCTATCAGCAGTTAATAAATTTTTTTTCCTACTTTTTTTTTTTTTTGGGTTTTAATTAATCTTCCGTGAAGCATATGATTATAGGGCGATGAATTGTACATTTTGCTGATCAATAAGATTAAGAAGCAAAATTACAATTGTAAGAAAGTATAAAAAAATGTTCAATAATTGTTTCTTGATTAGTAAAGTCAAGTGAGTATTTAGTGGGAAGTTAATATGTCACTTTCCTTCATTATCTTGCATTAAAGATTGATAAGATTTCTCGTGTTTTATAGAAAAGTTATTATGCCCCGTTTGGCCGCTTGAATATAAATAATTTTTTTTTTTTGCATTCCGCGAGCTCAAATATTAATTTCAATCGCACATTCGTAATTATTACTCATTTCTCATTTATATATTTCGTGGAACTCAGTGTTATTCTTCCTAAAAAAATTACTAATAATTTTAGATGAGAAGAGGTTTATTATTTGCTTTCTTAGTGTTTACACTTTTTCTTGAATGTTGTAATTAATTTTCAATTAGATATGGTTCTACTTTACAATATTTTATTATAAGGTTCAAGGAGCATCTGATCTGTTTTTGTTGAATCTAGGAATAGAAACTGGACATGCCATGTGATATGTAGCTGCCAAACTATGACCTTCTGTAGTGTATTCATATTGACTTCTTCTGAATTTATTTATTTAAATCAAATTATTAACATCGATGTGTTATTGGTGGAATAAATTCTTAAAATTTATTTTCAGTTATTCATTTTCGTAGTTCAAAATCGATGTACTTACCATTCCTACTAGCCCGTAATTGGTGATTTAATTTTCCCTAGACAACTTGGTGGAGTACTAAGGTGGGAATCAGTAATCTTGTGAAACTTGTACTTGACGGCTATGAAGTAAAGTGAAACGATGAAGATAACTATTACTTTTTCGGAAAAAGTCCCTTGGGCATCCAAGGTTTGTTCAAATAGCAGCCCCGAACTTTCACACTCCTTTTTTGAACCTGTTGATGGGTCACTCCCTCGAAGTGTACTATTTCGTGCTAGCACTAGTTATGGGACTAAAAAAGGTGTCAAAAATATGGAACTGAATAATAAAAAATGACATATAGGCACAAAGTACATTAATTTCTGCTTAAATAATTTAGCAAAAATTGAATTTTGTTCACTGATAGAAAAGTATGTTTTTGAAAGGAATAATTACTTTTTGCTAAAGGTGGAATGGAATTACAGAATTGTTTAGACACTAATTATTTGTGGTAGACATAGGTCCATAGTTTTTTTAATTATTGGTAGCATATGTACCTTAAAAAAACAAAAACAAAAAAGAATATTTTTTGAAAAACTTTAGTTCCTTGGAATACACTTTTCATAGAAGATAAAGAGAGATGTACTAAATATATTATGAGGGTGCTTGGTGGGATTAAAATTAGATATTTTTAGTGGATTGTGATAGAACTTTTTGAAATATGTGATTGAAAAGTTCATATTTCAAAAAGTTCTGAAATCTATAAAAGATGTGATTAATATTGATTGTTTGACTTTGATTTAAATTACAGTTGGATTTTAATTACAAACAAACAAGTTGTGTATGATGTTAATGTCAACATTGGAGGCTATTCTCCCTGCGAGTATGGCCCAATTTGGTTGTTGTGATGCAATATGTCCAAGTGGGAATTGATAAACATGATAATATCCACCTATTTCAACTTTGTGATGTTATATATATAGTTTTGGAATCATATATTTACATCTTTCTTAAGGCACATTTGACAAGATTTTTATTTTTTATAGAATAATTTTCTGAAGGAGGGTCCATTTGGCGGAACTTCCGATAGGATTCTTAAAATCTCAAATATGAGTACTTTGCCATTGAGCCTTACAGTGAGCATATTTGGGAGTGATTTTTTTCCTCAAAAAATTAATTTTTTTATCGTTGTTTCACTATTTTGACCGTCATATTAGACTTTTTCTTTCACAGATGGACCTTACTTTTCTTCTAACGATCAAAAAATAAATTCTCAAAATTACTTCCAAACAGACTCAGTTAAAAGATGGACTTTCATAGGAGAGTCTATCTTTCACATGCCTTTGTGTGTGGGGTCCTTTTCACTCTACCACCATTTCTACCTACATTAATACATAATTGTATCATAGAAAGGGACTTGCAACAATAGTATACTTTAATTTCAATGCTCTTTTATCTACCCACAAATGAGTAAAGCACCTTGTCCTTGAAAGTTATTATTTGGGAATATGGAGAGTGGGCAGTACTAAAAGTTATATCAACACCTTGTCCTTCACACTTCAAAGCCATTTAGTTTTCCCTGACATAGTTTATAACGGGCTCAGTGTCGTTAGATACAGGGGTGGCATGGGTCACGGACCCCCCAACGTTTAGGTAAATTCATTTTTTTTTTTTTTTTTTTTTATCACCATTAAATTTTTTATGTTTTTGCGTCAATTTTCAAAGTCAATATGGGATGCTAAACGAAGTCGAAATATTGATTTCTTAACACCATTTCAAAGTACTCATGGCCTAATTTTCTAATTGTTAGTCATGCACAAAACGGCCAACCACAGCAAATGTTATGGCTTTCAAAGCAGGTCATTTCAAACTAATATTTTGAGAATTTCGATTAACATACCAATCTTAAAAATTCTTCGATAATCATACGCTAGTTGAATCCACAAATCACCTACATCATCTCGAAGTTCGCTTCGAGAATACATTATAGATATATCGAATGGTTGAAATAGATATTGAAAATAGTTAAAGGTGTATCAAACGTGCTTCTTAAAACAAAGTGTCTAACTAGTCTTTCTTTAAAAAACTTCAATTATTTCATTAATATTCATTATTTCTGCACGATAAATTTCTCAATATAATCTACATCATTTTATTAGAAAATTTTACGAGGACGTCACATCAAAAATTTTCATAATTTTACATCCGAAAAAGTCATATATCATCATGTACAAATTATTATTGTTTAATAAGAAAGTTTTAATTTACTTTTGGACCCCGGGATCGGCCCAAGTTTTAGTTTGTCAAGATCTTGAACCAAGTTGAATTGGACACGTCAACAATGGAAAATATATTGGACCTACCTATTGGACTGGACTGGACTGTCCTAATATTATTGTTCGAGGCCTATCTTAAAATTGGGGTCGAAGTTGGGTTTATATGTAGAAGGGCAACTTACTCAAAAGTCAGGTCCTCCGAGAAAATTAGATGAAAAGTATTTTGAAGGTAAACAAATATTGTGTAAAATCAAATTACATAATGTAAGACGTTTTTGTTAAAGAGTGACACATCGTGTCACTTTCTCTATCATGGAACCTTAATTCACATTTAATACAACAAAAAATAAAATTAACATCTAATTATTGGTTCAAGGAATTCTTATAAGCAAATTGAAATCTTTGTCGAAGGTGTTGGGTTGTTCTATTAAAAATTGATTGCGTGTGACATTTTATAAGAAGTGACACCACGATATAATAATTGTGAATATATAAAAAAACTTAGACAAAGAGGTGAACCTTAAACTCGAAAAATTAACATAACAAAACAGTAAATAATAGAAATTATTGCAAAACAGGTTTATAATTTTCACAAATTTTAAAAGTAATTGAAGAATGTCACTTTTTTTCCTTTTTTAAAAAAAAAAAAAAGTGACAAGTTATGTC